CCTTTCCCCATGCTACGCTTGCTGACCCTGTCAGCCAGCTGCCTGTACAGTGCAGCAGTGCCAGCTTGCTCAGAGATGAGGGAAACTATGCTGTCCACTTCCCTTTGGCTCTGTTGTTTGCTTCTGTGTTTTTTTCAGGTTGTTGGGCCTGATCTTCTTGACTCGTCCAGCGGTGGAGTGAGTGTTTATTCAAATAATGTTGTGGAAAGCGCTTTAGCCTTGAATGTTTGATCCCATTGCATAGCCGGCATCTAACCTTGACTTTCTCATACTCATTTTTCCCAGCTTCCACTCTGTGGAGTACAAACTCTTTTCCTTGGAGAGGTTCCAGCTGCAGGGAGCGGAGGAGGCCTTCCGATCCAGCAGCCAGAGTTTGGAGGGATCTGGGAGTTGACCATGCACAATGCTGGGGGAAGGGAAGGGAAGGAATAGGTAACAGAAGCTATTCTAACAGCCTTTGGCAAACACCAAGGATTAATGACAAAGGACAGTCATCTGTCTGGCTGTTGCCTCAAAGAAGACTCCTGACAATCCTAACCTGCCAGATGGCATTCACTCTGGAGACAAAGAGCAATACTGCAGTTGGTTTATCTTTTGTAACATCTGTTTACTTCCCTTCGCCTTGCTCCGCACAGTGGGAGTTCATTACCATGACTCTGAGCAAGACTGATACTGCCTGGGCACTTCTTGGCACTTCTGTCACACCTGAAATAGGCAGAACCTCTCTGAATGCTTTTCGCACGCACTACTTCCCTGCCCGCCCTTACTATTTAATCACTACTTGGTGATGCATATGCTCCTTAAAGAGCCTTCCTTGGAAGAGTGCATGGACAACCATTTTCTCAGCCATGCATAGTACAAGAGATGGTACCAGAAGCACTGTTACCACCAGGGATCCAAATTTTCCATTTGCCATGAAAAAATGTGGATTTTCTCTAAAGGAGAAAAATGCAGATTTTTCTCTTGTAAAGGAGAAGACCATGGAATTTCTCCTTTGAAGGAGAAGAATGTGGGAAACCGCGAGTTCCCCCTTGCAGGCTGGCATAGTTCCAGTTTGCAAGTGGCTGCTTGGGGCTGGGGGCAGTGGAACACAGGGGACATCACGTGCATGTGCAAACGTGTGCAGATATGCACATGGCCAGAAATACAGCCAGGCAGCATGGAGAGCAGCTCCCCTAGCTGCCTGCAGGTTAGTCTATAGGGGGAGGGGGCATGGATGGGTGGGGGGGGAGGTAGATTGAGGCCCCCAAGGGGAGGGAGGGAGGGAGTGGGACAGGGTGGATCCCAGTAGTGGCAGCAGCACTGAGTCTCCCTGCACTCCCACTCCCAAGACCCACTCACTGGGCCACGGTGGCCTCCAGGACAGCAGGACGGGGGGGGCCATGAGCCCCACAGTAGGCAGCCCACATCGGCCCCCCCACCACTCACACTCACACTCTCTCTCCCCCTCACAGGGAGCAGGGCTGGGCTCTACACTCTGGTTCGGCTGCAGCAGCTGCTGCCTCCCACATGCAGCACCCAGGACTTGGGCACTGGGGGGAAAGAGGGCTGTGGGCCCTGGTCCTGTAGCCCTGGCAGCTGGGGGTCCCCTCCAGCAGGGGGTGCACTGGCAGGGTTGGGGTACTGTGGGATGGGAGTGAGAACCGGTAGGGCCAGGGGGCTACAGACTGGGAGTGAGGGGCAACAGTATATCTTTTTGGGGGGGGGGGTACACAAGCATATCAGGGCTGCTCAGTGCCACAAAGCCGGAGGGTGGAGGGATGACAACCACAGCTGGACCCACATCCTGGTGAGCAAAGGGGGCAGGTGAAGCTCTGATTTTCCATGATAAAAAAAACAAATAAACCCCAACATCAACCCCCAAAATATATACATATTTAGAATTTATTTAATGATTGAAGCACTGGAAGGCTTCCAAATTGCTTTAAAATTGTTAATATATTAATAAAACATTGTGTTCAACTGAGATATAGATAGATAGGTAGTGGCATTTCATTTTAATCATAGGAAAACACGGATTTGCAGTTTTTAATCAAAAAATCTGGGATTTTTATCAGAGAATTTGGGATTTTTAAACAAAGAAAAACCAGGATCCCTGGTTACCACAAAGTTTCTAATAACAGATCAGAGTTGGCCAGTGATCAGGTTTTCAGGAAAGCTGAGCTCAGTTCATAGGAAACCAGACACTTCAGAAATGGTTTCCTCTTGATTCTGGGAATAGCGTGTTGTTGAAAGACGCAGCACTTCCACCTTGGAAACCTTTTTGGGGAAAAAAAAACAGTGCAGATTACAGCTGATTTGAAGGGACTTGGCCATCTGTCCCGGAGGGGGCAGGTCCTTCCGCCAGATCCCAGTCAAAAACCTCTTAGCAAACCGTTGAGATTGAGGGTTTTAGAAGCCACAGCAACTAAGCACCACTCTTTGATCTCCTCAACACTGCACAGCCAGGATGTGGGAGCTGCTGGTCACCGACTACTCCTTGCAAGGAGTCTTCAAGTATTTCTGCCACAACTGCACCTACAGAAGCCGCTCCAATTCCACAGGGAAACACATGTGTGTGGGCAGCACCCCACTGTGGGCTCATATCTGTAAGAAACTGCGTGGAGGAAAGGTTGGCCTGACTCGCTTTCTCTCTCTGCTTGTCTGGGAGGCAGGGGTTGGGGTCTGATCTGCATAACTGAGGGCAGCATTTAGCCATATGTGTTGATAGTTGGTAGAGGGGACTGGGACTTATCAGGAGAGGCTGTTTGCATGGAATAACTTCTAGAATAGCAGCGACTGGCATTGACCACTGACCAAACGTCTACAAGGTGCTGCCTCAGCACTGCCCTGCATTGTCTTATCTAGTCCAAAGTTTGACCTTGTTTTGCACAGGGTTGGGGCAAGGAAGGTGGTTGTGCTGTGGGATTCATTTTATTTAAGTATCTTCCTGTTTGTGCACCAAGATGTGGATTCTGAATCTATACTTCCCACGGTGCGAGGCAAGAGCATTCACCTGCTCTGCAGCCATCAGGATTTTATATTGCAGAGCCGTGTCAGGAAAGACCAAGATTTGTTTCCTTCAGTCAGGTTCCAATTGCTCATACAATTCTGCATTCAGATCTCTCTCCTGCAGGCTCAGTCTGAGCTATTTGGAGCTCTATGCAGGTGTGTGGTTCACATACATTGCTAATCTCTAGGACTTGACAGGCTGCCTTCCAACCTTCTGTTTTTCATGTTGCAAGAAATTAAGCGAGACCTGAAAATGGAGAGTCCAGATCTAGCTTCCAAGCTTGTGTTGATCCACAGATTCCTGCAACAGCCGGGTGCTCTGTCAGGGTGGGGAACATTTCTTGCCTTTATGTTGGAGGTGAAGTGAAAAAGAATAGGGTGTGCTGGGGTAGGGTGCTTCATCCACTTCCCTTTGTGACCTGTGCTGCTTTTCTCAGCAGATTTCAGCTGCTATCTTGCTTTGGTTCCAAGTCAGAGCAGGGTTTTAAAAAGGACAGGACATGGCTGATATCTGTCCTTGGATTGAGGTGCTCGGGGAAGGTCCTCCTGAATCTCACCCCATGTTCCTCCTCTGTTTTCTTCCTCTGAGACTGACTGTTGAGACAACATGTATTTTGAGTTTAGTGGACATTGTTACTTTCAGGAACAGGTAGGCTTCAGTGCTGGGCATGCTCGGTGATGTTGCTGAAGCACCTCTTTCTCAGCCCCACTTTTCATTTCTACCTGAGCCCGTGTATGACAAGTCCACAGTGCTCCAGCCCTGCTGGTCACTGGGGAATTGGTTTCCAAACTCCCCACTTGGGGCTGCATTATGACATTTGTCCTCCGGCTCACAGTTGGAGCAGTGTGGAACTGCAGTGCTATGGGAAGCTCTTGGAAAGGGTGTGCTTCAGGAAACCATCCTGTCCTCTGGGTCACCCTTTCTCTCCAGAAAGCTCTGCAGGCTGGTGTCCGGGGGGAAGCAGCAGGGTGCTGCAGCTCAGGTCTTGCTTTTTGATATGCGAATGATGTACTTTACTCCCTAATAAATCCACAGTGTCAGGTGCTTAAAAATAGTCCCTGGAAGAGACTGATATGGTGCCCAGGTACCCAAGCAAGCAATTGTGTTGTTGAAGACCTGGATAGGTTGGACCGAATGAGCGTTACTGACAAAGCCTAGGGTTTGCGATTTGAAGATGTGATGAATTATTCTTAGCAGTTCCTTATTTGTGGAGCAAATCCATATAAATGCTCAGACAGCCTCCATGCTAGCTGCTTCACCAGGAAGAGCTGTGCAGAGGAACTAGGCAAGTTCAGTAGGACGGGACTGATGAGAGAGGCTACAGATGTCTGTGTTTAAACCTCACTGACACACTGCGCCTGGGAACCCGACCCCCTGAAAGGCTCCCAAAGCTGAAAGAAAAAGCTTCCTGCCCAGTTCCTATCCCTAATCTTGTCACCCCCAAACTTTTAAAAAGCAAAACACCTGTGCAGAAATTTTTTATAAACCCAGCTGATGCCAGCAAATGAGCTGCCTTTCAGTTTGGGGCCAGCAGCTCCTCAGTCTGTTATTTCAGAAAGGAAGAAGCCCCGTGCTGGATTCCAGATGATCACTGTTTTCCTTTCAGAAAACCTATTCTGCCAACTCCCAGCCCTCTTGGGCAGGCTGTCAGTGGCATAATTTTTGCTCTGCAGTGGCAGTGAGCCCAGTCTGACTGTCACTTAAAGGTGAGGTTAGTGGTGCTAGAGAAACAGTTTTGCTATTAGAGGTTTCCACTTGTTAAGTGGATATTGCAGATGCATCATTGCTGGGGTTTTCGTCTCTGCACTTACGGTTCATATACAGCCCTGTTTAGGGTAGCGTGCTGTCTGTGAGTGACCTGACACCTGGAACCTGGGACTCTTCTCTGTTGTGCTGCGACATTGGGATAAAGTGGAGAATGTGTTTGTTTCAGCACTGAATTTCAGGCCTGGCTGAACTATTCTCTGGGTCCAATTTCTAACCTGTGGGTAACTTCCATGTTTTTCAGCTGGATCCACAGGTACTGCAGGACAAAGACTGGCAGCGGACAGTCATCTCAATGAATGGAGTAAGTACGGAGAGCTGAGGCTGGCACTTCCTCTCTGCCAAGCCTCACTATCATGTTTTATTCTCTCTGCTCTTTGTTGTGAGTTTGAAAAAATAAAATATTTATTGCTTGAAAGGTAACAAACAGTCTCTTCCTCGCAGATCGAAGTGAAACTGTCTGTGAAATTCACCAGTCGGGAGTTCAGCCTGAAAAGAATGCCATCCCGCAAACAGACTGGGGTCTTTGGAGTCAAGATTGCTATTGTCACCAAGTGAGTTGGCCAGTCACAGTTCTCAAAGAATCGTAGAAAACTAGGGTTGGAAGGGACCTCAGGAGGTTATCTAGTCCAACCCCCTGCTCAAAGCAGGGCCATCCCCAACTAGGTCATCCCAGCCAAGGCTTTGTCTAGCCAGGTCTTAAAACCCTCCAGTGTTGGAGAGTCCACAACCTCTCTGGGTAACCTTTTCCAGTGCGTTTTATGACCCTCCTAGTGAGAATTCTTCCTAATATCTAACCTAAACTTCCCTTGCTGCAACTTGAGACCATTGCTCCTTGTACTGTCATCTGCCACCTCTGAGAACAGTCCAGCTCAACGGTTCCCAAACTCTGACGGATTGAGTACCGCCAATTAAAAAAGATACAACCTTAAATACCAGCAGCAAATTTTTCAGTTCAGCCTTAAGTGCCAGTAGCAAATTTTTGTCATATAAATTATAATAAATCTGTTAACACATACCACTGACAGGTTGTCTGCATACCACTGGTGGTACCTATTCCACAGATTGGGAACCGCTAGTCTAGCTCTCTCCACTTTCAAACCCCACTTCAGGTACTTGAAGGCTGCTATCAATCCCTTCTCAGTCTTCTCTTTTCTAGACTAAAGAAGCCCAGTTTTCTCAGCCTCTCCTCATAAGTCATGTGCCCCAGCCCCTTCACCACTCTGCTGGACTCTCTCCAATTTGTTCACATCCTTTCTGTAGTGGGGGACCCAAAACTGAACACAGTACTCCAAATGTGGTCTTACCAGTGCTGAATACTCACCTCATCAGTGCTGAGACTCACCAATCTCTTCTTTGTTGATTTATTTTAAGTAGCTCCTGGTTTTGTCCTCAGTGAGCAGACAGATCCATATACCTTTCTATCCCTGCATGACTCATATCAATAGCAATTTCTGCAGAAAAGAACTGTTTTGTATCCTAGCAGCTTTATTATTTGCATGGAAAAAAACCAAACCACCCCTGTGCTTGGAAACCCAGGGTGTTTACTTCAATCATCTCTCACTTTGCTGTATTCCAGAAATGCCCCCCTGACCTTTTCGTCTGTACTTAGCTGACTTGGCTCCAGATTTCTAAAGCTACTGAATTGCAGTATTTCCTTTCCGTGCTCGGAAATGTTCAAGCGCTCTGGATCCTGTTGTATTATATTAACCCCTGATCTTTTGTTATGAATTGTTTGCCAAAAGAAACCTGTTTGTTCATGTTAGATAATTTGGGAGCCTTGGAATTTCCTCCCCAGGGAAGTACAGTAACTTGGCAGCAGCAGAGCTGCTGTGGAATCCTCTAATCACCTGCTAGTGTTACAATCGCTGTGCGTAGATGACCCAGCCATACACTCCAGTCTGCAGAAACAGTCAAAGCAGGGACCTTGCAACATTTCAGAGAACTTTCCATAGCTTTAACTGCACTTTCTGTGCCTCCTCTGGCCCTGCTGTTTGCTCCAACCCTCTCCCTCTCCTTCCATCAGGGTGTGTATCCACATCATGACAAAGGGGTGGATGGAGTATGTGCCAGCCTGGGCTAGCTGGAATTGGGGCTGAGAGTATTGAGGATACAGTTGCATTGGCTTCAGTATATGGTAGCAGTCAGAGTGTAACCTCTCCAGGGGCATATGCTCTGGTGGCTAAAGTCTTTGTGGCCGTCTGTTCACTACTGCTAGTCTGTGCTACAGTTGCAGCTCCATTCTTCTGTATAGACATAGCTTTCACCACCCTTTCACCCTGTGCCTGCTTTTTTTTTTCCCCTCTTCTGTCCTCTGCTCTGTCCTTCTCATTCCCCTTCACTTCCCTTTTCTTGCCACCCTCTCCTGATTAAAAATTCTGGTGCTAATCTGGTGTTTCATGTCATCACACTATTCACTCTGCTGGCATATTCCCATCCTGTAGCTGATTAGACGGGGAGCTCCCTAGGGTAGGAATCATCTACTGCTCTGTGTTTGTGCTACACCCAGTACAGCAGGGGCGGGCAATTTTTTCAGGCGTAGGGCCACTTACTGAGTTTTGGCAAGCCATTGAGGGCTGCATGACAGGCAACCAGGAGCAGATAAATATTAATTTTCTAAATTTTTTAGGGGTCCCACGGGTCGGAGAGAATGGCCTGGTAGGCCACATCGGGCCCATGGGCCGCGTTTTGCCCACCCCTGCAGTACAGAGGAAGCCTGTTCTTGGTTGTAAATACATGAGGTTAATAGGCAAATAGGGAAGTATTCATTTGGATTTGGCCTGTTTGGAGGACAGTGATTTGATTCAGAGATTTGGATCACTGTCCTGAATCGATTTTTGCCAAATCAGCTTTGGAAGATTTGGTGCTGATTAGGACAGATTCGGTGATTTGGATTGGCTGGGGAGAGACAGGCACAGCCAGGCAGCTCCTCCAGCTGTGCCTGCCTCT